GCCAAGAAATGTGTTTCTCTTGGGTATGCTCAGAACCAAAAGGGGTATTGCTGTTATAACCCAGTGTCGAGGAGCAGATTTGTCACTATGGATGTTACCTTTTTTGAATCCACATTCTTTTTCTCGAGTGGTTCTCCTCAGGGGTAGAGTTTTGGGGAGGATAACTCACAATCTGTTCCTCTTCCTGTTTCTGTGGTGCCTCCATCAGTTCAGCCAGCATCTACATCAGTTCAGCCACCACCTGTAGCATCAGTTCAGCCAGCACCTGCACCTCCAGTTTCATTACCTGAGCCACTACATGCAGCCTCACAGCAATATCAGCGCCAACAGATGATGGTTGACTCCACACATCCTCGACCCACACCACTCTCTGTCAGTCCTTCTGAAACTCCAGATTCGGCAAATACAGTTCCAGGTATTCCTCTTGAGCCTGAGCCTGTTATGTTTTCTAATGATAATGTTTTTGTCCCTAACACCATTGTTGCAGCTGATCCCACTAACCTTGATCTTCTCATTGCGCTTCGTAAGGGGAAGAGAAAGTGTACAACCCACTGCATTTCACACCATCTTTCCTACAGTGCCTTATCACCCTCCTACCGTGCTTTTTTTTCTTCCCTGGATTCTATGTCGATGGGTATTCACAATGCAGTATAAGGCCGATGGCAAGATAGAGAGGTACAAGGCAAGGTTGGTAGCAAAAGGGTATACTCAGACCTATGGTGTTGATTATCTGGAAACCTTTGCACCAGTAGCTAAGACGAGTTCAGTTCGTATCCTTTTATCTCTAGCAGCCACCTATTCATGGCCCTTGTTCCAGCTTGATGTCAAAAATTCTTTCCTCAATGGTGACTTACAGGAGGAGGTATATATGGACATTCCAGTAGGCTTTTATGAAAATGTTGGTAAAGGAAAGGTGTGCAGACTCAGAAAATCTCTGTATGGAGTCTATGGACTGAAACAGTGACCTAGGGCTTGGCTTGACAGGTTCAGAGGGGCACTCATCCATTTTAGATACACACAGACACAGTCTGATCACACCCTCTTTGTGAAGAGGAGAGATGCTTTGGTGTCAATTCTGATTGTGTATGTGGATGGCATAGTGGTGACAGAAAATGATCTGGAGGAGATTGATGATTTCAAAAAATCATTGCAGTAAGAATTTGAGATCAAAGATCTTGGTGAGCTCAAATACTTCTTAGGGATTGAAGTTGCAAGATCCAAGTATGGGATCTTTATTTCACAGAGAAAGTATGTACTTGACCTACTGCGAGAGACTGGGAAGTTGGGGACCAAACCAGTAGACACTYCTATTGATCCAAATCACAGAATTAATGATGTCGATGGTGAATTGGTAAAGGATGTGGGGAGATATCCGTCTCATGGCCTCTTTTTTTTCTTCTTCCTCCCTATTTACTCTTAAGGTCTATGCTGATGCTGATTTGGCTGGGTGCCCTAGACACTCTAATATAGGATGGTGTGTCTTTCTTGGAGACTCCTTGGTATCATGGTAGTGTAAGAAAGAACAAATTGTTTCTATATCCTCCATTGAATTAGAGTACCGTGCAATGTCCTCTGCCTGTAGCAAATTGATGTTGCTTTATGCTCTCTTGGAGGACATTGGTCTTTCTTATTCTTCCCCCACCCCTCTCTACGCAGTCAATGTTAGTGCAATCAAGATTGCTTCAAATCCAGTATTCCATGATAGAACAAAACTTGTTGAGGTTGATTGTCACTTTATCAAGGATCAATATCTTGCAGGCCATGTCACCCTTTATCACGTGTCTTCTGGTCTTCAACTAATAGATCTCTTTACCAAAGCTTTGACAAGTGTTCACCATCAATGTCTCAGTGACAAACCGATGCTTATTTCTTGACATTAGTTTGAGGGGGGTGTAGAGATATGGGGTGACTCCCCTTGTGAGTGGGACCATGTTTATATTGTACATTGTTTGTGCCTTGTTGTAATTCCTTTTTCCTTTATTTCTTGTATTTGTCTTTCTCAGTTTCTCTTGTATGTGAGGGGCACAACTGTCCTTTCACACTTCTTTTTAAGTTAATATAATTTATTATTTTCTGCGTGCATGAATCTAACACACTCTGAAGCAATTCTGTGTTGTTTGAACTGCTCTAATAGTTCTAATATTCATCCTGTATGTTTCAATCTTTGTAACTCAATTATGACAAATTACCAACCAAAAAAATTCATGCCAACATTCCAGAAAGACTAGTTTCAAAAATCTCGGTATAGTAACCAGGAGATGGTAAAACTGTTTCAAAATATGATACTTTAATGAAGAAACAACTTTTATATGGTTTTATAATTGTAACTTTCAGTATAGATTCAAGTCCTCTAGCTTGCAAATGCTTTTGTATATAATAATGTGATCGCAGTTAAAACATCCATTCTACTAAATGATATAGTTCAGTGATCACAATTAAAAGAATAAATTTATGTAACAAAGGGCAAGACTGCACATATTTCCTCTATAGCAATAACAATGCTATCTAAACACCAAAAAATACAAACCGCTCGGACATCTTCCACATGGCGGGTGTATGAAAGAGAAATTAAATCAACATTATTATGGGAACCCCAGGTAGATATCACCTGTTACATTTTGAAAGAAAAGAAATGGGTAAAGTAGTGCTCACAACTCAAAGAAACATTGTAAATTTATAGAAACGATGAAAAGACTGAAAATATTAGAGATCTTCAACAAACCTTTAAAGAAAGAATAAGAATAACTACACACTCATTATACAACCAAAAAAAACTATTTAAAATAGGAAACATAAACTATAGTAAGTGACATATGCCATTACCCATGTCTAGTACCCCTAGAATCCAAGCTATACATGCATAAATAATTCATAACCATGACGATAAGGTATGCATTATCACAAAGATACAACAAACATTTATTCATGCTCATTTTAGAGTTTCAAATATTTTTGTTTCAGTCTATTGCTTTCTTAAGTTTTAGAAAAAAACTATCCCTTTTTACTATTTTTAATGTAAAGATCCTTCTTTTCTCTATTATGCATTTCTTGAGTTGTAGTTGACATGATTCCATATTCCAACGGAAATCATGAAATTTATGCTATTGGTATAATATTTCAATTGAAACAATCAAAACTTACTGAAATTTGACCAAACATTATAGAAATTTGGCCTACAGTTTGATTGGATAAGTCTCTTTGGCTGCTATAGATGTAGATTGTATAAGCACTTGATGATCTAATGTTTTCTGATTATTGATCTTGAAAATATAAATGTTGAATAAGAAATCAAAATATACAGAATAAAAAATGTTCAAGCGTAAACTCAAGCTTTCAAGTTAGATCCAAACTTCATTGCATATAAATATATGTATCAATATAGCATTAAATCTAGGGAAAATTCCTGATTAGTACCCTGTACTTTGGGTCTAGTGCCACTTTGGTCCCTGAAATTTAAAACGCGACAATTCAGTACCCGAACTTTCAAAACGTGCCAATTTAGTACCTACCATTAACCAGCCATCAATTATGTGTATCACATGACATCATGTGTGACTTGAAACTTTTGAAATTGTTAAAATTACCCTTGGAAATAAAACACTGTTCATCATCTTCTTCCTCGAGAAGATGAAACAGAGGTGTAATCCCATCTGATTTCCTGCCCAAGTTCTTTCTCAAACACTTCCCAAATCTTCAGATGTGTTCTTCGTAGCCATTCAGTTGAGCAGATTTCAACTGTGTTGATCCAAGCGGCTCTATTTCCTGGTGACAGTATCAGGCCTGAAGTTGCCGATTCCATAAAGCAGGTTGGTTCAGTGAACTCCTGGATCATACTTCATTGATTGCCTGTTGACTCGCCTTTTTTATGAAGCATACGTTCCATTACTATGAACTGAAATGAAAGGATTTCATTACAGTCAGAATGCAGGGAAATGATCCTCAAACCTTGCCTGTAAAATCTACCTACACGAGGATAAATCCTGAATAAATTTACTTCTGGGAGTATTATTGTAGTGGAGTTGATAATTTGAGAAAAAGAATGACCTGGTTGCCATTTGTACTTTGAACTTCAAAAATCACAACTGCATGGAAGTGAGATTGAGACACTAACTTCTATGTCTATGATTCTCTCACTTGATCTCTCTTTCCCTTATGACTTAATTTGGAACTAGGAATTTTTTGAAGGATTGCCATGGAATAAGGAATTGAACTGGATAAAAATACCAGACCAGTGTTACAGAAAGCGTCTTTATGGTGTACTAGACTAGCTGTTCAGTGGAGAGAGAGAGAGAGAGAGATAGAGCACTGCTGAAACAGTTCTCTGTTACTGCTGTTGACAGACTGTACCATTAGTTTTCTACTAATGCTTTTAGTTCTCAGATTGTACCATTCACCTTCGCCTGTTCTATTAAATGCTACTCATGATGATTAGATTGCCTAAGTTGGTTTCTCTCTCTTTACTTTTGCACTTTTTTATCTCTATTTGACAGAATACTCTACTGATTTTGATGTGAGTTAGATGGTTGATAAAGAAAATCAGATGACACTCGAAGGGCATTTGTGTCTTTTCAAATCCCACTTAATGGCTGGTTAATGGCATTCAAAAGAATAATCTACTGATTTTGATGTGAATTAGATGGTTGATAAAGAAGATTAGATGACACTCAAAGGGCATTTGTGTCTTTTCAAATGACACTTAATAGCTGATTGATGGCAGGTACTGGATTGGCACATTTTGGGGACCAAAGTGGCACTAGACCCAAAGTACAGGGTACTAATCAGGAATTTTCCCTTAAGTCTATAATAAATTATTGTCTGTTCCTCTTTATCTCTTATATTTTGTTTAAGGGGGATGGTTTTCTTAAAATCTAGTTATCTATAATTCTATATGTATACTACCTGTTGCAGATAAATCAATCCCAAGTTGTTTCTATCACTTAGACAATCAGTAGTACAAAGGGCCATCACTTGGTGCAATGGTAAAACCTTGGTCTGACAAGCATAAGACAAAGGGTTCAAGACTGAGAGCATCCACTTAAGAAAGAAAATTTCAAATGTTAGATCTGCAACCAGTCCATCCCTCTCAAGGTACCAAATAGCCAGGATCAACATTGAGCGATGACCCTTTTCTAACTTAGCATTAATGAAAAGACCAGCACGAGAAGAGGCTTCCCAAAGAAAAAAATCAGGAACACAATAGCAGAAAGAGAACTTGAGCTAAGGTAACAGTAATCTAGCAAGAGGGGAAGGGGGAGAAGAACAGATACAGAAAAATACAGAAAATTATCCTGGTATGGGCCTTTAGTTTTAGTTTTATATTCCATGTTTCAGTTTTATATTCTGTTATGGGCATTTAATTATTGGGCCTGAACTGGTTTTATTATTGTACTGTCTAGGTGTTCCATCACTAATCAGGGGCATTCTAGTCCATTCATTGTATCATTCTAATATTAATATATATATATAGATAGTGATGTATTAGTTTCTAGGGCCGGATGGACTAAGATTTTCACCCATACACACCTCTCTTCTCTTCTCTTCTCATCTCTTCTTGCTCTTCTTCTTCACCATTTCAGCAAACAAATGTGCTATCCACTAACATGATCAGAATTTTATGTTATCTATCACTGCCAAGTTTTTAAAGAATGGCCTTGATTCTAGGTTGTATAACATACGAATCAGCTCAAAACAACACCATAGATTCCAGGTTGTTTGATGATATGATGAATATGACTTGTTTTTGGCATTTTGAGGGTGGTTTTTGTTATTAGGAAGCAGTTTCTATGGCTTCTCTTTTCTCTTCTTCTTGGGTGATATCTTATTACATGGTCTCGTATTCTCCTTTTTATTATTTAATAAAATTGTATACTTTTTATTTAATGAAACTTTCTATTTACTGTTAAATAGTATATCTAACTCCCCAAGAAAACACAATCAGTGAGAATGATATAAAAAAAATCATACAATTTATTGTAGTAATTAGACTGAATGAAATCTATCTTACTTGTTTATCAGTTTCAGTTAAAGTAGGCAAATTGATATGGACTTGGGAAACATGCATGGTGAAAATAAATCCTGCAAGAGTGGCACTATTCTTCACCAAACAAATGACATCTGAACCCTTTGTCTCCACTACCTGCAAAAATGTACCATCAGAATAGAAGTTTAGCTTAAGATTATGTAGATAATCATTTTCTTCTCATAGACAAGCAATAGAGAATCTGCATGTTAAATTTTCACCTCTAGCCACACAGAGGTTGTTTCACTTCCTGTGAAAAGATATTGTCCGAGAAAAATAGTATCACCTTTCTTAACTGCCTGCAGTTCCATTGGAGACTTTATTGGTAAAGAAAAAAACATCAAGTAATAAACAGTATGACCTCTTCAGAAAATATTAAAAATAATAATGGAGGCAAACTAAAAGTTCTAGACAGACTTGGATACAACCTCAGCAAGTCCAGCATAATTAACAGTTAAGATGTCAGCTGATGGTTCCTTAGAAACATCTGGAGTAATGGTAACATGAGCATCAGCCTTCAGCTCAATCGGGTTCCCAGTTGTATTGCAAACTTGAAGTTCTGGCCCTGCAGTGTCTAGCATAACCTGAAAATGATAAACTGCGTTAAAGGAAAAACAAAATATATGCCCTACAGTAGCTTCTTTTGCCAATTTCACAAATGAAACTCTGAAGGAACAGGGATGCACTAATAGAAGTAGCACTTTTAAAGCTTAGCTCCATTAAGTCCAATTTAATTGGGTGATAGTGAAGCCTAAATCAAAGCATCGTGAGAAAGGAATCACTTGGATAAGCCTACACAAGATTTTCCCAATAGAATATGGATGGAGAGTGTTCTGAAGACCAAGTAGGGCTATGTGCAAAACAGAGAAGAACCAGAAAATAAGAGAGAATGATGGAAGAAAAAAGAATCAGTCTCTCACCCCAGGCAGCTGCTACTTATATGTTCTCATTTACAACTGAAAAGACTGTCCTACCCTTATGAGTACGACAGAACTAGAGCAAACATTAAACAGCATGGTAAAAGGTCAATGCTGTTCAGCCCCAAGATTGAATCATCCCAGATGCTACAATTCCCTTTATGAAGTTACTAAATCTGGCAGATTTGGGGAATAGAAAGTATCTTGACTAGAGAAGGGCATTGGGAGATAAATCTGAATTTTAATTCTAGATTTTATTTTATATTCTATTCTAGCATATCTGTTAGGGTGTATAGGGGATTCTAGGCTACAGTGGAGCACCTAGTCACCTAGGTGTTAGAATTTCACAAACGAAAAGAAAAAAAAAAAAAAAAAAAACTAAATTCTAGGATACTTCCCTAGTTCTATATACCAACCAACATGCATATAAACTGAAAAAAAAAATAGCCATTCTCTTTATTAATAATATCAACTTTTGTAAAATTCATGTTAAGAGTGTATTTGGTAGCTCACTCAAGAAGAAATTCATGTTAAGAGGGTATCTGGTAGCTCATCACCGGAAATGGATTCCTACCTTAATCATCATAACTCATTCCAAAATGTAGCTAAGGTGGTAATCTTGGGAGCCATTTACTCTTGGAAGGACTGTACAATGTCAGTAAGGTTACTCACCTTTTGTCCTTCCTTTGGAAATAATACCATAACTTATCATTGGAGAGAGACCAATTCAAGCCTCAAACTACTTTTCATATTGTAAATGATGAAGTTGTATTGCATTTTTCTCACTTTCCTAGTATGCTTTAAGATTTCATGGATAAGAGTGCCAATAATACAGTATACACACCTGTAATTTTCTGATGAGTAATTGTAACTAAAATTAAAGTTCTTAAATAATTCATATTTTAAATCTTACATTCCTCCACAAATATAAACAGAAAAGAAAACTCAGGGTTCAAAAATCAGTGTTACCAAGACAATTGAAATGGGTGTTAAGACGTGTCTGACACAACAATATCTAAAATGCTAACACATGGAGATATAGATATATAAAATTATAAATAAATTAAGAATATAAATAAAACAACTAAATATAATAAAACAAGTATAGTACAGGATACTACTCTTTATATTACTCTAAAATCGCCCTTTCTCTTTCAAACCATTGTGTAAACCCCTCTTTTGTTTGTTTCGCACCCCTTGAACCCTTTTAAGGGTGTCCAGGTAAAATAGTAAAAAGTATAAAGTAAACCTGATTACAGGAGAAACAACTCTCTGAAAAGAAGGAAAAAAATGAAAAAAAATAGCATTCATTCGAAAAGTAGGGTCTTGTATTGTTGGAAAAGCAAATGCTCATACAGAAAAAAAAAAAAAAAAGAAGTTACATGTAGTGCATGAACATGCATTCGGACTATAATAGTGAAAGTGAGTATCCGCATCTATTGCCAGAAGTATATTTACTCCATTTGAGCTTCCATGAAATGGTAGCTAAAAGATGAAGCAGAAAGACTGAACAATCAAAAATTTATAACATACAGCACATAGCCTCTTAACATTCTTCATAGCTGTCCTCAAATTGTCAAGGGTTTCCTGGTGGTACTCTGCACTTAACCAAGAGAAATCGAACCGGGCAACTGCCAAAAACAAAGAATGTAAAGTCTACATCAGAATGGAGTTATCTTACAACTCAGATATGCATACCAAGAAGAATCCATGAAAACCACCTGACATTCCTGCCTGTAGACATGCTTCAATCACCTCAACAGAGCGTGACTTCGGTCCAAGGGTCCCAATTATTTTGGTTAGTGATGGTATGTAGCTCTGCAGATTTCACACAAACCATTAGCAGATATTCTTCATTGCAAAAGACCAGGGAAATGTTAGGGAAACCCCAAATACTAATGTTTCTTAAGATGAGCAATAAGAAAAAGAAAAGGACATTTCACCCATTCCTGAAGAGAAAAATGTATAACCACAATCAAGTACTGAATTCCCCCCTTTTATCTGCTTTCCCGAGGAGAGCTTTCTTTTTTTCCTTTTTTATTTTTATTTGGGAGGGATGAGCAAGAGAGCTCATGGCGAATAATGAAGACAGATTTCGAGCCATATCCACAACCAAAGACTTATCCTATTCGTCTTATCGAACTAACGGAAGTGCCATGGTCATATAAACGAACAGAGAACTTTGGAAAGTAGAACCTATGAAACCAAAATCTAACTGTAGAACTCTACAAGTAGAGTTTGGCAATTCATCGTGTGAATGATCACAAACACTCAAATGAGTGAGAAACAAACTCAATAAAAAAATCAATAAAGCAAGGACAACGACAATAATAGAACAGAAACATTCAAGGATGCAAATATGTGCAGCAACGACGAATATAAACAAAATCTTAAAACAGAGCAGGTGAAAGAATCTTTAACAACAGAAGAAGAGAAACAAATTATCAAGAATTAAAAGAAAACGAACCCAAACTAGAGTACTAGACCAAAAAAAAAAGTAAAAAAAAAAATGGAGTTTCAATAGAATGACACCAAACAAAGAAATTATAAGGCGTTCATTCCTGAGATACGTAAAAGACAAGCAAAAAACAAGTCTAGCTCTTGCAGAAATGGATTCATTAGGGAGAAAGAAGAAATTACAGGCTTAGTAGACGTGAGAACTGAAGCAAGTTGCACCGGCTCTTCCACCACCATTTGACCTCCTTGCATTGTGTTCAGCCAAACAAACCGACGGCACAGAGAGAGAGAGAGAGAGAGAGAGGAAGAAGAGGTAGTAGTTGTATGATTTGTGATGAAGAAGCAGGCAATTGGTTAAGTTCAGAGGTTGGAGGTTGGAGGTTGCAGGCCTTCTCCATGTTCTGAGTGACGTAGTAGAATATTTCGAGAGGAATTTACTAAACAGCCCTTCTCCATGTTTTGACTTAGAGTTAAGCTACAGAGCAGCACGTCTCGTGCAGGAATAAATTTGCAAAAAACTAGAGATCTGTCCAGCTGGCAACTTAGGTGAAAATTAGAATGCAGAAGGAGAATTGTTTGTTATTTAATTATCCTGCTCCAGCCTCCAGCCGAATCATTTGTTGCCACGTGGCAAGAATTTGCACCCAAACTTCAATTTGTTGGCCATTTTCAGCTTTGTTCATGCCTTTTATAGTGATGGATGCATTCCATCATCCATGTGCAGTAACCAGTAAGAGAGATAAGAGAGAAAGAGAGGTGGAGGACATAATTAGATAGAAAAAAGAAATAAAGGTTATAAGTGGAAAGTGAGAGTTTGAGATTCAACCAAAGGGGGAAAAATGACTTGGTTGCATTTTTTAATTTTTGTTAATTGGTTTCTTTAGGAAAAAACTGTAAATTATTAAATATTAAAATGTATTTATAATATGTATATAGTGCATATGATTTGAATATTTTTGTCTATATTTGCATCACATAACAACATCATATGTAGGTGCAAAGAAATTTCTTGAGAAATGCCAATTTAATTAATTTTCTATTTAAAAGACCATTTTACCCTCTATTCTTGAAAAATTTACATTAGAAAAGAAAATAATAATAATAAAAGAAATCGAAGATACAACTCATCTCTCCTAAAAACCTTGTTTTGAGCATCCAAAGTAAATCAAAGTGAAACCAAAGTTTGTTAATTTTTTATCTACACCCACCTCTAACATTGAGACTGCTATCAAGATAGATTGTTCTTAGTCCAATACTTTCTTTGCTTTAATGATATCTAGTAACAAGTGATTACTTATCTCTAGGCCTCGTTTATTTGCAGTGCAATTTTGTTTGCACTGGTGCAGAAGTTTGAGAGTGCAAAATTTCTCCACCATGATTATTTGTTATCTGGTCCCCATTCCACCCCAAAATTTTTTTCCCCATTTCTTTCTTAGAAACCATGGCAAAATAAACAACCTAAACTAGTTCTGGTGGAAATTCTTCTACAGATTACAGCCACATAGCCCAACCCTGTTTCTCCCCATTATTTTGGTGACATGCTGCCTTGGTTGAGCTTCTCCTTTGCTGCAGCGCCACTGTGCTCCTTCTCCTCGGTTCAAAATATTGATACAGCTCGATATGCCGGTAGGGGCATGTCAGGCTATATCGGCCCTCGCTCCTCTTTTTTTTTGTGAACCTGATTCAGAAGAGTTGGTTTAAGGTCTTTTCTACCCCTTAAACCAGGTTAAACCCCGAAACACCTCCTGCAAGGGTGTATCAGGTGGCTCCCRATACATATCGATCGGTACGAACTAATACATTTCAAAATTATGAACCTTGCCACTGAGTAGGGCTAAAAAAAATGAAGTACTACTAAGGTAATGTGGATGGTCTAAGAATTTCCCAAGATGTGAGGGGTAAATCTGTCATGCAGAAAAAAATATTGATAGAGGGAGTGCTATTCCCACCTGTTGGCTGTTGTATGAAAGTTGGCAAGTGGCAGCACAGTCAGGTTCAACTATCAATAAATTTAGTTGTAAATGCAGAAGTCAGAGCTGGGAGTCCGGAGTCCCAACCCATGTCTGTTTTCTTGTTACGCACTCAACAAAAGTTTTGAGGGTGTTCCTGAATCATGTTTGACATCCACGTATTGGGCTTTTAGAGGTATACAGTAGGCCTACTATAAAGCCCATTGGATTACAGTCCTGAATCATGTTTAGAGCCTGGGGTTATGTGGTCCACTGAGGGTTCTATTGAATCGAGGGACATATTTGGGCCTTTGGGTTAAACGTTTATAACAATGGGCTCTCACGTTTAGTTCTATTGAATCCTTAGGCTGCGTTTGGTTGCAATGTAAATAAATTTGCACTGATGCAAAATTATGGTAGTACAAATGATTTGAGTGCAACTTTTGAAGTTCTGATTTTTTTTGTTTCAATTTTTTCCTTCACTTTGTTTGGTTGCAACATAGATGAAGTAAAACAAAACCTGAACCTGAAGCAAAGTAAAAACCAAAGACAAAGTGGACCATAACTTGTATTATTCTCATTTGCACTTTCAATTTATACTAGTGCAAATGAAATTGCACTGTTAAGAAATAAAACCTCGGGTGAGGGCACTTCGATCAGGTTCATCTGGCAAAGTCTTAAATAACTCTGGGAGGCACATAAGCCTTTTTGCATCATTTTCTTTTTTGAGTTATACCATGCAATGGCACTACAGACATAGTGGGACCCATGTCCCTGAATACTGTCTTTATGGGCCCACTATGTCTTTAGCGCGTTGCATTGCAGGTGCTGCAAATTTGTCTTACAAATTTCTGTTTTCAGGTTGTGTTCAGTTGTAATGCAGATAAATTTGCACTGATGCAAAACTAAGATTTGAGTGTAAATTCTGATCTATTTTTGTTTTAAATTTTAGCTTACTTTGTTTGATTGTAGTACAAATGAAGTAAATTAAGACCTGAAACAGAATAAAGTAAAACCCAAAACAAAATTAAATGAAAATTTGTATTCTTTTCATTTGTACTCCCATATATTTATACTAGTGCAAATAAAATTGCAATGCAACCAAACACAGCCCTGAACAAACAGAATGAGAACAATTCAATATTTAGGACCACATGAAGAAGCTAGAAGTATTAGGCCAGAGCGAAGGATGCTTATGGGAGTTCGGATCTGCTCTTCACATTGACCTCCAACATGTTTTAGTCATGCATCTGGAACATCTCTCCATGAATTAAAAGTTTACAAGTACGAGATATTCCAGATGCACAACTGATACGAGCTGTGAGGCATGCTCTGTGAGGCAAGGTTCAAAATATCGATATGCTCGATACAGGGCATATTAGGTAAATCAATACTTTTTTTTAATTTTTTTTCTGAAATCAGTTCAGGGGGGCCGGTTTAGGGCTCCTCCACCCCCTGAACCGGTCAGACCCCCGATACACCCACTATAGGGGCATATCGGAGGGGTCCCGAAGCGATACGTATTGGTTGATAGGGTTGATACGTGTCGATACTTTAAACCTTGCTGTGAGGAGCAGATCCGAACTCCGCTTGTGACATGATGAGCAATGCAGAAAAGAACCCTAATGTTGAAGACTGTATAAAAGGTTCAAAATATTGATATGCCTCCATGTATCAGCAGGGGTGTACTGGCAAGGTTCAAAGTATTGACATGTATCGATTCATATCGGCCGATACGTATCATTCCGGGACCCCTCTGATACGCCCCTATAGTGGGTGTATCAGGGGTCTGACCGGTTCAGGGGGTGGAGGAGCCCTAAACCGGCCCCCCTGAACCGGTTTCAGAAAAAAAAAGTAAAAAAAAAAGTATCAATTCGCCCGATACGCCCCTACCAGCGAATCAGGCGTATCGATATTTTGAACCTTGCGTACTGGTACTTAAAATAGCGCTCTTTTATATATTTTTTAGTTTTTTTTTTCAAAATTTAGTTTTTGGGCATATTTTTAACCATATTTTTATAAGAAAAAGAGTGGTTCCCGAAACCCCTTTAAATTGGCATGTCGTATCAAAATTTTGAACCTTGGCTGTATACATCATGTCAGACAGTTTTTATACGTGAAGAAATGATGAAAATGACTTTATCATTATTCAATAATTCATGGCAGATTTTGCTTTGTTGCTTTTTGATTATTGACGTGGTCTGGTAGAGGGTAGAGAAGTATGAACTTGGAAGTAGTAGAGAGTTTACATTCAATAACCCTTAGGCCCCGTTCGCTTTTCGGTAAATTACTTACCCGAGTAAATGCAATTATCTAGGTATGTTTTTCCTGGGAAACACTTACCCAAGTAAGTGTATTTACCCATGTTCTTTTATTTCCCAAGTAAAAAAGGAAATGACCATTTTAACCATAAAAAATTCATTATTAAAAAGGACATTTTTGTTCAATTCAAGTATTGGAATGGGAAAGTTATTTATTCACCTAGGAGATGGTAAGTGATAGCCAGAAAAATAAACTTTCCCTAGTTTCCACATTAATCTAAAAAAAGAACATGGGATTCTTGATCAATGGAAACCAAAATCCCATTGACCAGATTTTCCCCCTATCAAAATCCAAAAAAAAAGAACGCCCCCTTATTGTAAAGTAAGTTTGAAAAGTTTGGAAGTGCCATAGTGCAAAAGCACAGGATTGCAGAGGTTGTGCTTGGTATCATTGTTGTTTCTTGATGCAAATTGACATACAAGTATACAAGTGTTATTTGTTATTTGAAGTTGTTTATAATTGAAACAGGTAATACCTTTTAAAAATGCATGTGACTGGTCATTGATATTTATGGTTGAAACATCAAATTGATGCTTGAAAATCTAATCATTTTAGCTGAAGTGACTCTCATATATATATGATGTGACAAATACAATACATTTCTTGCCATTTATTTGTATTGATCATTGTAAAACGTTTCAGATACAAACAACAATGATACCAAGCAACCTTTTGCGTTTAGTGTTGTCCATTTGTGATTCCCTTGGAACCTCTGGGGATTCCAGCCATGATCCTTAGACCAGCACTGTTCTTGGTTTAATGCTAGGCACAGTGGTCCATCCAAAGAGAAGAAAATTAGTGAAAAGATTAATTCCCAGTTTCAGATAAAAGGTTATTCTTCTCCATAAGACTTATGCTCTTTCTTCCATGTTGAGAGCTGACGTGGTTAATTCAAACCAATCATCATACAACTAGGGGCTCTCTGGATGTCTTAAATCTCCAATCCCATAATCCATGCAAGTGGTGCTAGCCAAGGAAAATGCCTAAGTTGGGCTGAAGCTAAACCACTACGGTAAGGTGGAGATCAGTAGAGGAAACCCCAATTGGGCCCATTTGGGCCCCCAATGTTCCAACCGTGTGAAAATTTCCTGGGTCTATAGAAATCTTCTCTAGACGACTCGACTAGAAAACTCGTACCAGAATTATTTTATGTGGTTCAAGCGGTTAAATGAAACAGAGCCCCAGTTCCTAAGATGGAGGCCAGAGTGAAAACCTAAAATATTACAAGGTCAACGCTTACCAAGCTCGCGTGCATGTGTCTACATGAAAGTACACGTCAGTTTATCTATTGTTAAACATCACAGATTCATACAGTGATGATATATTAACTAGTTTTATACTTTTTATTTATTGGGCTGCTTTATTTAGTTGCTTTTAAATTTTTAGTGCAGTCACCATGTATCAAGAAACTATTATTTTAAAGATTAATGTTCTGTTAAACCCATGCACTGCTCCATTTGTTTTTTAGCCTCATCAGAGCTGTTTTATTCATTATCATATAGAAAATAGATAGGGAATCACATTTTCGTATTCATTAGAGAGAGAGTGACCCTGGTTTACACCATCCCTATTGATAAAGAAGATATCCCAATGAGTCCAAACAAAGAACCTAGAGGAAAGAAAATTGTAAAAATGTTCACTGCCCAATGGATTCAGCAGGAACTGACAATGAATACATGCATTTTTTGGTAAATATTTTTACCTAGGTTTGGTTAGCCATTGAAGTACATTTTGATTTACAGTAAGCTACGAGATAACGGACAAGGATAGAAAGGAATAATACACAGTATTTTGATTGATAACACAGTACAAGAACGACTGAAATAATGGGATTCTCCTACCCGTATTGGTACATGATAGTATAACAAGACAGTGTTTAATGAATACAAGGATACAAATTCATCATCATCACCTGTGTCAACCAGCTACCTAAATATAGTCGGAAGCACAAATCTGTACCTCCATTCTGCTCTGAGGTCATATTATTTGTTTTTTTTTTGTTTTTTCAATATAAACCACATCTATCCATGTACATGTTCAGCCACCTGAACTGTCTGCCTAGATACACATACAACAGTGAATGAATTGGCATTGTTAATAATGTTGAACTATCCCTAAACGTATCATACACAAAGTTACATTTGTCAAACTGACTCCTTGAAGTATAATTGAATACAAGTCAGCCACTTACCTGAATAAATAAAAATCATCATCAATCAGACACTGGTCAGAGAAGCGTGCAATCCAAACAAATGGATGAGAAAGCTTTAAGTAAATATATAAGTGAATGAGACTGTAACAATGCCATATCTGATAGCTGACAAAGAAGTAGAGGGCGTACTAATGAAATATGCTACGTCAATGAACAGATTGGAAGTAGGCCAAGTTCCTTTTCAAATTACAGATTTACAGCTTTTACTATACATTCTGCAGAAAGTCATACTGCATGTATAATCATTGATTTTTATCTGAGCACGTACACCACCCTTTTGTTGTTTTAAACAACTTCAGCATTGGTTCCCCTTGCAACTACCTGATGATAACACTCGATAATTTTCTAACACTATTGAAGGAAGGATACAATTCTCCTCTACTTCACTTTCTGTTTCATTTGTTAATAAAAGCAAGGTAGTATTAATGAGACTGCTGAACAGTTGTAGGGGGGAAACTTCATGAAAATAATGAATAGGGATTGAGCCTCAGGTTTAGAAGAGGCAAGGGGGAGGAATGTTTTACCAGACCAACAGACTTCAAGAAATTATAAGCTACATTTTTCACAGCCTGATCATCACAATACAACTACTTAAGGCTTGTAACTAAAATGCCTAACATACCAAACAAAATCTCCACAACAATTACTTAGAAATTCCATAAGCCATCAGTGATACTCTTTTACACTGGAATGAGCAATAATTGACCTATGATATCCAAACATGGATAGAAGAAATGGGGATAAAACTATCCATTTCAAAAAACCCAGTATCCCATATGATACAGTAATTAGTTTTTTCTGCCAAATTTCACTTTTTAAGACATATCTTGGAAAAGTTGGTTAAACTTTAACATGTACAGATTTTTATAGTATGATTTGTTAAAATAGTTTACATGATTTTATAAGTATCAATACTAAAGAGTATAGTAATAGTATTTTTGAAATCCAAGGCTGTTTTCCTACAACCATACAAGAGTTTTTATGGCCTGCACAGATGAAAGGCATAGTTTTCAAGGTGCCAAGGCGAGCTAGGCGACCATGAGGCACCCAGGCACCTAGGCGGGTGCCTAGCCCTCACCTAAGGTGATGGAGTTGAAAAATAAGGCTTGCCGATGGATTTCTACCCCTTCTGAACTAGTTTTTTTTTTTTTTTTTTGTTTAATGTATTCTGCACTTTTGTGCTTGTATTTCTTGCAGTGTTGCTTCAAGTAGGCAAAACAATATATCAGAGTTGTGCAACTTACAAGTTAAATGTTAGAAGTTAGAACTTGAAAGAACTGAAGGGGGTGGAGCCCCTATTTTAGATCAACAATACATAGGGAACAAATACTAAAATTAAAGAAGAAAATGAAGTAGGGGGGGGGGGGAGCCTGTGTTCTAGACCCAGAAAAGCTGGTAAAAAATATTAAAATAAAAGCAGAAATATGAAGAAGAAAAGAAGGGGCAGAGCCCCTGTTTCAGACACCAATGATGAGAACAAAAAAAAGCTGAAAAACTGCAAGAAACTAAGAACAAAAGGAGGCGGAGCCCCTGTTCTAGACCCAGAAAAGCTGGTTAAAAAATACTAAAATAAAAGAAGAATATGAAGAATAAAAGAAGGGGTGGAACCCCTGTTCTGTCCCTGTTTCAGACACCAATAATGAGAAAAAAAAAGCTGAAAACATGCAAGAAATTTAAGAACAAAAGAAGGGGGCGGAGCCCCTGTTTTGGTCCAATAAAATGATTCAAACAACTTGATGAAAAGATACAAAAAGGAAGAGGAGAAAAATGGGGCGTAACCACTGTTTTAAACCAGGAAGAAGAAGGCTGATTAACTCACCTTGACTTTAGAGGACTGTGTGGGAACGATGGAGGGCTGTTGTTCTCTCCTCTTCCTCAGTTCGATTCTTTTGTCAAAGTGAAACCCTCGAAGATTAATTTTGTTTTTTACTTTCCTCACAAAAAACACTTGATAACATATAACAGGTTCTACAGGTTCTATTATAAAAACTAAAACAACCAATAAAATATTATATATTTTATATTTAGTTTTATTTAATAAATTTTTATATATTATATATTTGCTTCAGCCCCCTAAGCATGTGCCTAACATATTTTTTCCTGGCATTTGGGCGAGGTGTTCTTTGAAAAGTGCCTAGTCGCCTAGGCAACACCTAGGCGATCGCCTAGGCATTGCCTTGACAACTATGATGAAAGGCCTAAATAGGAAGAGAAAGGCAGTTTTGGGTGTGATTACTTTGGATGTGTTTTGGTCTTCCCTTCAGACAGAGAGAAATGACCAAATATTTGACAATAGGATCATCTTAGAGGACTTAGTAGCTATTGGACTAAAAGGCAATCCATTCTCATGATTGGGGCTATACAAATTGTTTGGGAATGTCAAGCATAGTACCTTTTTTGATAGGATACTCTTTTTTTGTAATTAGTAGGGGTAGCCACGAGCCAAGCTGCTCATGAGCTGTTCGAGCTCAGCTCGGCTCAGTCTAAACCGAGCTTCCAGACAAACTCAAGCCTAATATATAGGCTCATTTGATAATCAAGCCAAGCTTGAGCTTAATAAAGCTCAGCTCGTGAGGCTCGCAACCCTGTCACCTTGGCTCGACACCTCAGCTACTAAAGGAGACCTCGGCTCGGCACCTCAGCCACTAAAGGTGACCTCAGCTCAGCACCTCGACAACTGAGGGAGACCTCAACTCGGCACCTCAGCAACTAAGGGAGATCTCAGCTCCACCCCTAGTAATTAGCACAGAAATGAAGGTGTCCCTTCAGAAGTATCTACTGCACCAGTGGGACCACTGTAAGCCCGAATCACTGAGCTCTCTCTGTTTAGAATAACTCCCCCGATGCCAGCCGCTGGAATCTGGTCAGAGATTGCTCTACAGCTGCCATCGAACTTCAGTAAATAATCTAACTCAGGCCTGGGAGTGAGGAGGTGCCTTGGTTGATTGCTAACAATGGAAGACTGGATAATCTCTAATAAATTCCTTTCAAGATCAGCATATCTGAAACCTTTGAAATTATCAGAGGAAAGAAGGTGCACGCAAAAATTCTTTCTCTAATGGCTTTCTGTCCTCACAAACTTGTTATAAAAAATTCACCTGCTTCGTTCATTCCAGATACACTACATAACGGCATGAATTAAGGCTCTCCAAAAAGCTTTACCTCTAGAACCCAGATTRMAAGAAGGCCACTGATTAAAAAAATTTGCAACCTTATTCGGAGGAACCCAATAAAAGCTAGATCCAAACACCAAATCAAGGAAGAATTGCAACAGATAACAAGCCACCTCACAATTAATTAGCAAGTGACTAGCTGATTCACCATCCTTCATGCACATAACACAGATGTGAAGAGAAAGATAATGATATCCTAATCTTTTTCTTTGGATCAGATCACATGTGTTAGTGCGCTCCCAAACTGCCTCCCAAATAAAGAACAGAAGGATGGTGAATCTGATCCAAAGAAATGTTGCTCCCGATTAAGAACAGAATTTTAATCGGGTCTTGGCCAAATTCTGTTGACCAAGGAGGTAGGAGGGGTTCCTGAAGTAAGGTGTATGAAAAAGGACTTAGTGGAAAATATGCCATTGGGAGATAAAGACCAAATACATTTGTCAGGGAGATTATTAGAGAGGAAAACTTCACTCAAGGAGAGAAGGGAGGAAACTTCTTGGGCTTCAAAATCAGTTAAAGCTCTACAAAAGTTGAAATTATAGGACAAACCTTGATTATCTCTGATGAGAACATCAGAAACTAAGATTTCCTTGTCCAAAGCGACTGAAGTGACAGAGAGAGGTTGGGGACCCCACCAAGTATCAGTCCAAAATCTGATACAATTATCAGTTCCAATTCTGAGTCTTAATAAGGGGGAGAAGGAAGGAAAGATTTGCATAATACCTTTCCAATGGTTGGCGAAGGAATATCTGTTTGTCATAATTTTGCTGTCCCACCTGTTATTGTTCCTTCCATATTTACTTCTTATTTTGGAAGCCCAGAGACTATCTTGTTCCAGGGGGAAGCGCCACAACCATTTCCTAAGAAGAGCAACATTTCTTTCTTCCAAATGTCCAAGACCCGATTCTCCATCCTTCTTCGGTTTGCAAACTATCTCCCAGTTAACTAGGTGTTCCTTCCCATCCCCCCCCCCCCCTCCCAAAGGAAGTCATGATGCAATCTTTCTAGAAGAGATCTCACTTTGGCTGGCACTTTAAAGACGGAAAGGAAGTAGATTGGCAGGATGGATGGGGAATACTTGATGAGAATAAGTCTGCCCCCTTTCGAGAGGTAATTTCTTTTCTAAGAATCCAACCTTTTCTCGCATTTTTCAATCACCAGAGCCCAAAAGGCAGTAGAAGAAGGATTTCCCCCCAAAGGAAGGCTGAATAATTTATAGGTCACTTCTCAACCTTACATCCAAGAATTTCTTTAAAGGTGATCTACTTATCTTGAGGGACATGAATGCCTACAGTGTTGCTCTTAGCTAAATTGGCTCTTAAACCCATCACAGCTTCAAAGTATTTGAGAATTTTCTTCAAATTTCTGAAGTAGTTAATCTCACTTTCTAGGAAAAGAATTATGTCATCAGCATAAAACAAGTGAGAAATCTGAATCCTGTTTCTACCTACTATAAAGCCTTTCAACAGATTGCTATTTGAAGCAGATTTAAGGAGAAAGTCCAGTAAATCTGTTTCCAAAGTAAACAGAAGCAGGGATAGTGGGTAGCCTTTTTGGGAAGGTGTAGAACTTATGATTTGCTCCAAAGAAAAAAGACCTAATTGGTGCTTATCCCCTAATTGGTATATCCTTTGTAAGGCTAATGGTGAGAGTTGCTATCACTTATTAATCTCATGCTCCTTTGTTTTAGTTATTTGGGATTGTTTTCTCTCTTTGTTTGGTTGCAAGTGGACCCCATAGTTTTCAAGGCACATAGGCGAGGCTAGGAGATAGGGGGGCACCTTGTCGCCTAGTCGCTAGGCGATGGATTTTTTTAAGTAAAAACATGTATTCTAGGGTAGTTCCCTAGGTTCAATAATCATATTTCCTTAATAAATATCTATATTTTTCATAAGAAAAGTATAAACTTTATGTTTAAGTATAGAAAATCAACATATTACAACATATTCATGAGAAGAAAAAGAAGAAAGAAAAGAAAATTCAAAAAATATAGGGGCTGAACCCCTATTTTTGTTATAGGAAAAGAAGAAAAGCAATAGGTGGAAGAAGAAAAAGACACAAAATTAGTAAAGAAAAAGAAGAAAATGTGTTGATTGGACAACATTTTAAGTTCTTCCTTACTTATTGGTTCAGGTTTTGAAGTCTTTGAGGGTTTAATACAGCATTTAGCAATGCTTGTGTTGATTAAACCCTAACAAATAAGAAAATAATAAAAAGAAATTAGTATATAAACACAAAATGAATATTTTAGTTTAAAAATGTCTATTTTATAATTATAACCTCAAAAAATTAAGAATATAAATTTTTTTTTATAGCATGCTATAGAAAACTGCTTGGTGATTAGGCGAGGCAAGCCTCCAAGGGCGCCTTGTCGCCTAGGCGTCACCTTAACAACTATGGTGGACCCCCCACCAGATGTACAAATCTTGTTTGCTTCTTCTTTTATTAGGTGGTCAAAGAAGATGGGTATAATTCTTTGGAGATGTGTAAGAGCTGCTATTTGTTGGACAATTTGGGAAGAAAGGAACTTGAGGGTTTTTACTGAAAAGGAAAGGAACAGGGATGCCATTATTGAAGCAGTTACTACTAGAGTGGTGCATTGGGTGAAATCTCTAGAAATGTTTGAGGATATTTCTATAGATATGATGATAAGAAATTGGAAGGAAGTGGCTAATTCAGCCCCTATCAAAACCAAGATCAATCCCCTTTGGTCTCCACTAGCTTCTGGATTTATTAAATTGAACTCTGATGGAAGCAGTGAAGGTAACCCAAGGTCTTCTGGTATTGGAAGAACCTTCAGAGATGAGGACGGGAAAGTTATTGCTTTATTTTCTGATCCTACTGGTGTTGGTGATTCACTTAGAGCTGAGGTTTCTGCGGTGATGGAAGGATTGAAGAAGGCCAAGGAACAGAATTGTCATAAACTTATTATTGAAGGTGACTCAAAATTGGTTATAAGATGGCTGCACAGAGGAGAATGGACTCTGGAAGTCTGCTAATGAAAAACAAAATATACAATTAATTAGCACAGGGTTTGGAGATAGTGCTAACTCCTTTGTGGATACCCTTGTTAAACAAGGGGTAGGAAGGGAACAAATGTTTTGGGCTATGTTGTAATTTTGAGTTTTGCTTTCTTCTTGGGGAGGGTTAAGAGAGTTTATCTTTCCCCTAGTTTCCTTTGTACTCTTTTAATTTCTTAATAAAAGGTTCTGCTATTGATAAAAAAAGAAATGGTTGCTATAAAGCCTATAATAATTTTTTATATGACAAAAGCCACACAGCTTGGTGATGATGGCAACAACTTGAGTGAGTGAGATAGAGGCAAGGTGGTGGTAGCAATGGTGAGATATAGGTGAGAGAGTGAGAGGGGTAGGGTAAGATAGAGAAAAGGGAAGAAGAAATAGTAGGGTAGGTAGGATTTGTAAACATAATTTGAAAAAAAAATGCCACACACAAAGGAGTTGGAAACTTCTGACACTACCACCACCAGACATTTTGTTATGTCTGGGCAAGCTGCCATGCTGCTACTCTGTTCCCTTTAAAATTTTCAGAGCAAAAAAAAAAAAAAATCAAAATAAATCACAAAGTTTAGATGGGTCAAGGAGGATAGAGAGGAACTTCTGAGTTGGCTATGTATATATGTATGTATGTAATATGTAACCTCTTGGGACAGCCAAACCTCTATGCTCCACAACTAACTGCAACTCAAAATGAGAACAATCCAAGATCAACCATCATTAGCCCTTTTTTAGTAAAAAGTGACTTAGATTATAAAAAAAGGGAGGTAATAACTTACAACCTATGTTACACATAGGTTGGGGAAGAAAATTTAACACATCAAAGGCAGAAAAATAACTTTATGCCCAAACTAATTCAAAGTACATAGTGTTAGAAGCTAACAAAGAAAGCAACATAAAATAATGAACAAAGATGGTAATAACATACAACCTATGTTACATTGATGCAGGTTTGAACATCTGAGACTCGAGTGTGTAATGACACAAGGTAGACTTGGGAGGCAGGGATTTGGGGATTGTGGTAATACTTTTAATCTTAATAAAAGTATTATACTAAACCATTTTATAAGTATTTCAATAATTGATCAAAAGGAAAACAATCAAAGTGAAGCATAAATCAGTGCAATATCAAAACATCTCAAATTGATAATCTAAACTTATTAGGTTAGAAATTATAAACTTCATTTGAAACTTAAGTCTAATGTATAGTTGCATATCACAAGCTTAGAAAAGAAAAGACTCCCATAAAGGGGCTATCAGGATTAGTATTCACATTTTCCAACTTCCAACCTATCTGGGGTTTCAAAAAGTCTATGTAACATAGTTACAACATAAGGATAATACAAAATGAAAATACCATACCTTTAAATGTTAGCACTTGTCCGCACAAAGCTAAGCTGGGCCAAGTAATTGCTCTCAGCAAAATCATGCAATGTACGATGTGCTCTTGCACCTACACAATCAGTTCGTCCAATCTCTTCCTTCATGATTTTTCTACATCCATTAGCATCCTGAAAGAATATATACATGCCATACAGCTAATTAGAAATACATATAGAGAAGTATAGGGAAAAGTGAAAATCTGAAATTCAGTATAACAGATCACCCAAAAGGGGAACAAAACCAATGGAACGTGACTAGCCATGAAATCAAGGTATGGCACCAACCATTAAGGATCACAGCTGGATATTTATAGAGCATGCTATTTTGTCTATCATAACATGCAATTCCTTTCTCTTTTATTTTGGTAGGATAATATTAGGGCAAAATATTCGGCATATTCATTTTATACTGAGAAGCCATAGTGCAGAATTCCAAGAAAGAAACAACTCCATATGGGTTATAGTTAAATCTATGTGCCTCAGAAAGAAATTCATTTTGATGCATCTTAAAGGTACTTCATGCATAAAAAATTCAAGTGCATGATTTATAGAAGAATCACTTATTCCATTCAAGAATCTAATCATAAGAAACAACACAAAAATAGAAATATTTTGTTAGGTTTGGGTAGCTTTCTCCATTCATGTGAATAACAAAAGCATCAAGTATAATTGCCATGGAGGACCATAATTCCAGAAAAAAGGAATGAAAAATTACAAAAAGAGGAGAAAATCAATGATGATTTCACTTTCACTAGAACTCCAGCTCACAACTTTTCCCTTATTTTTGAGCAAGCATGCTTAGAACAACTAATCTGACTAGGCTTAAATAAGGAGAATCACAAAATCCTCTCTCCCACCATATATATAAACAAAAGCAGGTCTCAAATCGATATAGTAACTTATTTTTAGTGTGGTACCATGCATACAGACTTTAATAGGTCTCCAATTGATGATGGCAACTTATTGGAAAATCACTTGGAGCTCTCGATTCCATGGTAACTTATTGGAATAGGCAGATGGCAATAACAAAGTTATTATATTAATTGGAGAGATATTAAAGTTGGTGCACAGACTACATCTGATAAAAAAAAGGCATGACTTATAATTGTAAAGAAAGATAGTTATGACCTAATAAACAGTAGTCAACACATAGAATTAGACTCCACGTTAGCTAACTCCTTAGCCAATGGCTTGGTAAAATCTGTGGTTAACAGAAATCATATGTTCCAGATTACCAATACCAAATGGGGGAAATTTGTAATTACTGGGGGATTAGCAAAGGCTAACAACCCAAAAGGGGTACAAGGCACTTAATCCTTGTACTAAACTTTATTGAAAACAATAAAACTGTTTAACTGTTACCAATCAAATAAATAATAAACACACATACAAGACAATAAAGTTTTCTATAGGTAACAAGAGGATAAAATTGTTAAAGTCATACCTGTAAGAATTCAAGCATTTGCTCTTCAATGGTGCCACGCATGGCCAAAGTTTCCACATGAATAGGGCGAGTAGCACCCATTCGATGTGCTCGACTAATGACTTGTTCCTCCACACTGACGCCACAAATAAAATAAATTGGTTCTTGCATGAAATAAAATGTATACTAGCATATGAAATAATTAAAACATTGAACCAGCTCTAACATTTTGTCTCTATTATTGAATAGAATTTTTGAATAACATAGCTAGATAATTGATCAAAAAATAGCATATGTAGATAATGAAGACTATGGTTTCCAATATTGGAGAGATTTGGTGAGATTTCCCTGAAATCTCCCCATTTTTCTTTGGGGTGATGCGAAATTCTTTAGGAATATTTTTTCCTAATGTCTCCAATATATTGTCAATATGTCAGTGTGATCTTTCAAATTTTTGATAGACTATATATTTAAAGTTTAAAGTTTAATAATATTATTAAAACTGTCAGACATTTCATTAAAATTGTTATAGTTTTTTAAACAACTTTTCCTAAAAGAACAAATGTAGATTTGGTGATCGATTGTTTGGCAAGTCACCATAATTCAAAAGAAAAAGAAAAAAGGCACACAACTACAAATAAGGATTCTCAATCTAATCATAACATATAATAACAAAGGACCATAGTCAAAATGGAAAGTAAATTACAAATGTAATGAAGAAAAGATGGCTAAGAGACTAAAAAGAGACAGAGAAAAGATGCATGTTTAAGTCTCTTAGTCTTCTCTCATTTTATTTATACAATTTATTTTATGAATTTTTTAGCCTTTAACTGTGCATTTATACTTCTTCTATGGATGCTTAGCTCAGTTTGGAAGGGAATTGAGAAAGCATATGATCTGTTTACAAAAGGTGTGAAGTTTAAGATTGGGAATGGGTTACATGTGAAGTTTTGCAAGGATGTATGGTGTAGAGATAGGCTTCTATCAGAAGCTTATCCTGTCCTGTTTGAACTGGCTATTGACAAAGAAGCTAGAGTAGTGGACTTCTTGCAGTTGCAAGAAGGAAATGCAGTGTGGTCCTCTCAGTTCTAAAGAAGCTTGAATGATTGGGAGTTGGATGCCATGGTAGAAATGGTACATATGCTAGACAGTACTCGAGTGGATATTGGGAGTTTGGATATTAGAATTTTGCTGTGGAAGAAGACAGTAAACTTCACAGTGAATTCTTTTACCCAATGCCCTTGTCAATTCAGAAGAGTAGGCAGTCCCTGTCAAACATTTGGTGTAAGAATGTTCCCACAAAAGTAGCCTTTTTTTTGTGTGGACTGCTTACTTAAACAGAATCTTACTATGGGCAACCTCTTGAGAAAGGGAATGGTGATGAATTTAGCCAATTGTATATTGTGTGAAGGGAACTTGGAACCAGTGAACCACTTATTGCTTCATTGTAAATTTTCCTATGAAGTATGGTCTAGGTGAAGGGATGCTTCCCAGGATCAGCAGAGTTTGTAAAGGGTTGCTAGGTAGGACCGTGGGAGGTCCATCTAAAAGGGGCAAACTGGTGTGAAATTTAGTCCCTGTTGTGGTTTTTGGTGCATTTAACAGGAGAGAAATGCAAGAATACTCAAGAGTATAAGCAGTTCTGTTGACACTATTTATCAGAAGGTTTTGGGAAAGATGTTTTGCTGGCTACACACAAGTTGTTTAAAAGTATAGGTCATGATTCCTTTTTGCACAAGAAAATCTTTTTGTAAAGCAGGGATTAGGAGTATGGTGCTGCAGGGGCAGCTTTTGTATAGCCCCTGGGTGCAGCAACTTGTTGTACATGAGATTTCTGTTTCTTTTAATATAATATTGCACTTTACCATCTTTAAAAAAAAAAATCTAACTTCTAATGATTCCCTGAAAGTTGATTAATTATTCCATTATTTTAGAAATATTTTCTTGTTTTTCTAGTTTTCACAATTTATCTTGGCAAAATTAGTGAAATATCCCCTAATTTTCCCCATCTTTATGTAGAGAAAAACTCCATCAATATCAAAATTGTGAACTATGATCAAGACAAATACAATTAGTAAAAATGAAATAAGCACTACCAATAAAAAAAAAGTCTCAATGGTAATGGGCTCCCTAGTGTTTGTATAAAAAATGCATGCATGCATGCACGAGTTTGTCACTGATAATAATAGAGGAGGCTGCATGTATACAATAAAAGGAAAAAAATACAACGATAATATGGCAGGCCAGAACAAAAGGAAGGACTTGCATATTAAATTCAACCATTGGCAAGGGCACATGAGAGAAAGCAAATAAAAGGAAATTAAACCACTATATACAGAGAAGAACCACAGGCCCCAAAGGAACCCTCACTCTCTATACAACAAGAGCTCTCTGAGGAAAACAGAAGTTTTACCTTCTGTCCCAGATAGGTTCCATCAAAAATACACAAGTGACAAAGCTCAAATCAAGACCCAGAGCTGCACTTCCATCCATCAAAAGAGCCATACAATTTGCATCATGCTGGAAAATTGCCAATGACTTCATCTAAACAAAGTAAAAATGAATTAAATCCAAAAGATAATAACATGAAATAGAAATAAATAATTCCATCATTAACTACTACAGTTATCGTTGCACTTCTATAGATAAAAGAACTATTAGTCACAAAAAAAGTACATAATAAGTACCTTGTTTGAAGAATGCATTGGACTATACATTCCAGCAAATTTTATGCCAGCACCTGTTAACTGGGAAAAGAAAGCAGATATCATTCCAATGGTAAAAGGTGGGGAAGCAATAATAAAGTATTGAGCACTTTTTTGGCATATTTATATCTGTCCCCATGTCCTTTTGTATTTCATATCCATCCCCCTGTATTGTCCAAGTCGTTATTTTTTAATCCAAACCCATGTGGTACAAACCATGATAAGTAGGAAGCAAGCAAGTAAATATTTTACAGTAGTAAGAAACAAAGATAGGATCAGTAGATACATAGGAAAGAAAAAAAAAAAAAAACCATAGCTTTCTTGGAGTCGGTTCTTGGCATGACTGAGTACACTTGAGATGCCATTTGACAGCTATCAAGATCATGACATTCGGACATGAATTGAGTTATAGCTGATCTATAGTGGATATACAACCAAATGCTGGAATTAACTAATTTAGGAACTTAATTTTCAGTAAGTGTTTAGGAGCTTAATTTTCAGGAAGTCTTTTAGGTTTTGCTTAGCTAATTAGATTTAATATTTAAAAGTTCTTTTTGAAATTATAATAAAATATGAGTTGTTTGGGATACAGAAAGTAAGTAGAAGTTGTAGTCAGTTTCTTCATTTCATTGTGGGTTAAGGAAAAGGTTTGCAACCAAGAAATATATAAATATAGGGGCACCCTTTGTACTTGGAAGAAGTCATATTGGGAATTAAATGACACCGAGTCTTTCCACTTTGGTAGGGTTTAACTCCAAAGAACTTATTTGGTAGGACTTCATTTTAGACCTCATAATGAGCTTGGTGACTCCAAAGTCCATGCTTTACTCAGGAAGATAGGTGCAACCCTTCAACTTCAAACCACTTGTCCATCTACCATTACTTTTCTTTTCCATTAATCGTACTCATTTCAATCTGTTGAGAACCTTATATCTAATATTCAAGTTTAGTTTAGGTGCTCGTTAGTTTCTGTTTTCTGTTTTCTTTTTTTTATTATTTATTTATGTTTTATAGAGCTATTTATCAAGCCTGACAGTAGGGATGAAAATGTCTTTTCCATTTTGTTATGACTAGACCTGTTCACGGGTCGGGCCAGGATTTGTCTCTATATTAAAAGAACACATTCAGGCCCAAGCCTGAACCCAGCCCAACCATTGGACCTAGATCTTGAGCCCAAGCCCGGCCCTCCTATAAAGTCCAAAGCCTGGGCTCAAGCCCGAAGCCCGAAGCTTGACAGGAAATTGGGAAAAAAAGATTTTTTCTTCTTTTACTCAATAACGAAACTGATTTGTTTATTATATTAAAAGGCCTCAAAACCCAAAACACCTAGGTCGCAAAGGAGCAACCCAATCGTTGCGCCAATGCCCACCCTCTTATTATATAAACTATATTTTTTGTTATAAAATATATTATCAGGTTGGGCTTAGACTTGGCTGGGCTTATGGTAGGCCCCCAATTAATTTTACGTATGCTAGGAAGGGGAAAGGTCAGCTTTCGGCCAAGGGGGGGAAATAATTGAACATGGGGGAACTTATGGCTGGAGGGAATAAGGAGAGTTTTGTGGCATTTATAGCTTGTCAGTTGAGAATGAGAAGAGTGTGGGGCATTTAGCATTTATAGCTTGTTAGTTGGGAATAAGAAGAGTGTGGGGCATTTATAATTCGGCCAGCTGGGCATTTATTATGGAAGGCAGTTATGCTGTAAGATGTGTATAAGAAGGGGCTTTGGGGGATGGAGGAGACAAACTTTTGCTGAGTAAAGAATTCTGTGAATGCTTGGGAGAGCCGACGATCTCTCGAAGAACCAACCCACTGTAAGTGATCTTCTTTTCTTCTGAATGACTACCAGTTCCCTGTTGATATTCTAGTGGTGTGGATTCTGCTGTGAGTCTGCAAATTGCGTGTCAAGTCTCTGGGACTTATTAGTGGTATCAGAGCGCGTCTTTCCTCGGCCATGGTGACAGCTAAGGAAGTGGCATCGCAGGTGGAGGGTTTCGAAGAACGCTTGACTTCTCTGCATTCTGAGGTGGATGGTTTACGTGATGAGATAATAGCTGGACTTTCGAAGATCACATCCCTGGAAGGAGGCGTTCAAGACTTTGTAAGACGTTTTGATCTGTTGCTTCAGCAACAGACCTTCTCAGCTCCTTTGTCTACAACTGACAATGCTCCTCCTGTATCCGCATCAAGCCGTGCGGCTGACAAAGGGAAGAGTGCAGCTTTCCCGATGTCTCCTTCAATGTCAGTCCCGGAACATACTTCTGATTCATTTCCTCGAAAGTTGGAGTTGCCTATTTTTGATGGGGACAATCCAGACGGCTGGATTTTTCACGCGGGGCACTATTTTGAGATTAATGGCTTGCTTCCGGCAGAACGTCTGCGGGCGGCAGTGGTCTGTTTAGAGGGTGATGCATTGGCGTGGTATTATTGGGAGGATGGTCGGCGACCTTTTCGTAGTTGGGCAGAATTCAAGGAACTCCTCCTTGAACGTTTTCGATCAACTCAGGAGGGAAACTTGCAGGAGCAGCTTCTATCATTACGTCAATCCACTACTGTTAAGGAATATTGTCGCCAATTCGAGGTGCTCTCCGCCCCCTTACGTGACCTGCCAGAATCAATCCTTGAAGCAGCCTTTGTTAATGGGTTGCGCCCAGATATACAGGCCGAACTCCGATAGATGGAACCCGTTGGGCTGATAAGAAAAATGGTTGCAGCCTAGAAAATTGAGGAGAAGAATCAAGCCTTATGGGCTTATCAATCAAGATCATTTCCTCATGAGCCTACAACGTCCCTTTCTGGAACCCACTTTAGTAGAAACCACTATCTGTTGATTCGGTCAAGCTTCTTGTGAAAGGAAGAGGGGAAAGTTGTAGACTTCAGCAATAGGAAGAGAAAGAGGAAGAAAAGGAGAAGAAGGTCAACTAGGATTGTGTATCATAACCCTAGCCGCCAGCCCCTCATTCTATTTATATTTAACTTAAATATGAGATATTACAAAGATGCCCTTAGTAGGGCGGCAACTCAAACTAAATAGTTACAACTC